GGTCATTAGAGTTTTTGCAAACCAAGTTGCGGGTGGGTGGGTGGGATGTTTGCGCGAGCAGTGGAGATGACGACTTCAAGTTCAGCAGAGTGGGTTGCCACATATAGATTGCACCGCGTAGTGTGCAGCACGTAGGTTGCACCGTTCACATTGCACCACATGGATTGCACCGCGTAGATTGTTTTGCGTATGTTGCAGTACATCGGTTGCGTCGCGTGTATTCTCCTTTCTAAAAACAGAATAGACTCTACGCCCCGGGCGCTGTCACTCCCCATTTCGGGTGTGTAAATCACACGTTTCTGACCACATGCCCATCCTAAATATGAAATCGCAATGTCCCAGGCCAACCGGGCTTCCCCCCCTGAGGGTCCCTTGTAAAAAACAGTATGCGGTTACATTTGTTGTTCTAACATCACACTTTTGAGGAACCCCTTTGCAACAAAATGGGACGAAGTGCGCACGCGCGCGCGTCGTCGCACGCGCATGCCGAAATCCTTCAAAAACCTTCGGTGCCAGAGAGATTTCGCAACCGAGTTGCCACACGGCATACAAACACACAGGGTTTCGCAACATTGATTTGCTAAAACAGCTTCCGCGCGAGCTTTTGCGAAATCTTCAGAAAACCATAGTTTTTTTCAATAGTTTCACAACATGCTACCAAAACGGGCTTCGCGCGCGCATGTCGAAATTTGTCGAACGCCCTTGCGCGTGTGCCGTCGGGAGAATCCTCTGCACAAAATGGGACGAAGTGCAGACGCGCGCGTCGTCGCGCGCGTATGCCGAAATCATTCAAAACCCATCGGTTTCGGAAGGATTTCAAAAGCGTGTGTCGAAAAACATACAAAAACACAAGGTTTCGCAACACGGATGTTCAACAAAAGCGTGCGTGCGCGCTCTTGCGTCGTCATCGTTGTCGTCGTCGTCGCCGTCCTCCCTCCTCCGTCGTCGTCGTCGTCGGCGTCGTCGTTCTCTGTCTTTCCTCGTCGTCGTCGTCTTGGCGTCGTTGTCGTTTCCGTCGTCGTTGACGCCGTAGTCGTTGTTTCCTCTTCCCTCGACGTCGTCGTCCGTCGTCGGCGTCTCGCCGTCGTCGTCGTCGTCGTCGTCTTCCCTCCTCCCTCGTCGTTGTCGTCGTCGGCGTTGCCGTCCTCCGTCCTTCTTCGTCGTTCGCGTCGTCGGTGTCCTCCCTCCTCCCTCGTCGTTGTCGTCGTTGTCGCCGTCGCCGTCCTCCCTCCTTCCTCGTCGTTGTCGTCGTTGTCGCCGTCTTCGTCGTCCCTCCTCCCTCGTCGTCGTCGTCTTCGTTGGTGGCGTCGTTGTCGTCGTCGTCGTCGTTGTCTTCGTCGCCGTCGGCGTCGTCGTCGTCGGTGTCGTCGTCGTCGTCGTCGTTGTCGTCGTCGAAGTCGTTGGAGACGTCGATGGTGTCGTCGTAGTCGGTGTCGGCGGCGCCGTCGTCGCCGTTGTCGCTGTCGTCGTCGGCGACGGTGTCGTGGCCAAGTGCCATGTGGTACATACCGTCACGGTCTTGTCTTAAGAAGTTTTGCGACCACGTTGCGGTTGGGAGGGTGGGATGTTTGCACGAGCCTCAGCTTCAAGACGGTCAAAGTGGATTTCACCACGTAGACTGCACCACATCAGCGGCATTGCGTAGGTTGCGCCGCGCACGTTCCACCAAACGGATTGCACCACATAGGTTGCAACACATAGATTGCACGCAGGTTGCATCGCATGCGTTGCACCACGTAGATTGCACTGCGTAAAATGCAACAAGTGATTGTGTGGGTCCACGTTTGCTAACATGTTGTGTAATCGTGGATGGGAAGCGAAGAAGGAAGAGGAACATGAGCAGGAACAGGAGGAGGATGATAGGGGGTAAGAGGGAGGATGAGGACGAGGGGAAGGGCGACGAGGGGGAGGGATACGTGACGTGGGGAGGACGGGGCTGGCATCAGTTCGCGCTTGGCAGTCCGTGTTTTCCCTGGAGATTGGTTCCGAGTAGTTTGGCTATTGGTTGTTTGTGTTGTTGTTTTCTCCTTCCCTCTTTCTCTTGATGTTTCTCTGTCTATCGCTCTCTTCCTCTCTCTCTCTTCCTCTCTCTCTCTTTCTCTGTCTGTCTGTCTGTCTGTCTGTCTGTCTGTCTGTCTCTCTCTCTCTCTCTATCTATCTCTCGCTGCATGCGTAAACTTGTTGCGCCTTTCGCCTAAGCCCGGGGAGCACACGACGGAACTGGAAAACCGCGATGAAGAGTTGGACAAGGAATGCGACGATGAGTGGCATGTTGAGGGTGGGCGGGAGGAGGGGGAGCATGAGATGGAGGAGGATAACGAAGAGACGTGTGGACGAGAGGAGGGCGACGAGGCGGACGGGAAGGAGGAAGGTGGAATCCACGAGGAAGAATAACGCGAGCAACAGGAGTGAGGGGAAAAGGATCGCGACGAGGAGGAGAAGGAGAAAGAGGAGAGCGGCGAGGAGGGGAAGGATGAACACGACAACGAGGGGGAGGAGGAGATGGGGGAGGAGGAAGAGGAGGAGGAGGAGGAGGCAAGAGGAGGACCCCGACTCGGAAGGGGTGGGGGAGGAGGAGAACGGCAAGGAGGAGCAGGAGAAAAGAGAGAACGACCACGAGCGGGAGGAGGAGGGGGTTCGGGGAGGAGGAGGAGGAGGTTGGGGGAGGAGGAGCAGGAGCAGGAGCAGGAGGAGCAGGAGGAGCAGGAGGAAGAGGAGGAGGAGGAAAACGAGGAGGAGGAGGAGGAGCAGGAGGAGCAGAAGGCCGGCGATGTGGATCCATGATCAATGTGTGTTTATTGGCCCTCTGTCGGCCTCTCGGGACCTCCGAAAGGTCCTCACGATGCCTCCAGATGAGAAGCACCCAGACTTCTGACGTAGTTCTTCTGCTCCTTCCTCCAGTTCAGCGTTCCCTCTACATCGTTCCCTCTACATCCTCCTCCTTGACATCGTTCCCTTTACATCGTTCCCTTTACATCGGTCTGCTCATTCCTCCAGTTCAGCGTTCCCTCTACATCCTGAGATCTCGATGCAAGTTTTTGGCCCTTTGGCCACCAAAGAGGCTGTCCCAGCCGTTCTGCGTGTCCCGTCGCACGGCCTTCTGTTCGGACCAAGGAGCCGCAGGGATGGTGGCTCTGTCGGCGACTGAGGCCTTTGCAATTCAGCGGGCCCTCTAGAGATCCCTGCGGGGGCGGAAAAGAAGAGAGTCCAGGGTGAAAGACTGGTTCCCAGGAAGGGGACGAAAGGTCTTGGGGGCCATGTAGGTGATAGACAAAATAACCATGACAACAATTGTGCGCGCGGGAGCGCGCGCGGAGGAGGAGGGAAGCAGGAGGGAGGCGAGGACGAGGAGGGACGCACGGGTGTCCACCGTTCGGACGGTTCGGACGTTGCAGTTGGTTGAGTTCGGTCGGTCTGGTTCGGTCGGTCGGTAGTTGCGCCGCTGTGCTCTTCTAGGCTGCTGTCGGTCCCTCTGTTTCGGTTGGTTCCGGTTTCGCTGTCGATTCGGTCGGTTTCGGTTCTGCTGACGCCGTGGACGTTCGTAGGACGGGCATCGAGGATCGAGGATCGTTGCTGTCGTCGTTCCTCCCTCCCTCCCCGTTCCCTCCTCCCTGTTGCCCCATTCCCCGTGGCGCCGCCTGCAGGGCCTCTCTCCGTCTCTCCTCTTGCTGCCTCCCCTCCCCGACCTCCTGGGCGCCTCGTGGGCGCCTTGGGCGCCTCTTGGGCGCCTCGTGCGCAACACACAGCTTGCACCACATGGCTTGCAACACATATCTTGCCCAAGTTTTCACCGCATTGTTTGCACAAGTTTGCATCGCTTATTTTGCACCACATAGATTGCACCACCTAGCTTGCACCATACAGCTTACGCCACGTTTACTACACTGCATATCTCGCCCCACACAGCCTACACCACATGACGTGCACCGCATGGCTTGTACCACATAGCTTGCACCACATAGCTTACACTGTATAGTTTGCACCACATAGCTTGCACTGCATGGTTTGCACCACATAGAGTGCACGGCTTAGCTTGCACCGCATAACCGATGCACACGACTTAGATGTGATTTAAAAGTTGCCACAGCGTAATTTGCACCTCACAGCTCGCACCACACAGCTTGCACGGCAAAGCGTGCACCACACAGTTGACACCACAGTTTGCAGAAGTTTTTACCGCATAGGTTGCACAAGCTTTCACCACATAGCCTGCACCACAGCTCTCGCCGCGTAGCTTGCACCGCGTAGACTGCACCATGTAGCTTTCGCCACATACACTGCACCGCGTAGATTGCAACACACAGCCTAATCTGCATGACTTGCACAGCACGGCATGCACTAGCCAGCTTGAACCACATAGCTTGTACCGCATAGATTGCACCACGTAGCTTGCACAACATAGTTTGCAACACAGAGCTGATACATTATAGCTTGCTCCACATAGCTTGCACCACGCATCTTGTCGCAAATAGCTTACACACCCGGAGTACAAGATGTCACTGTTTGGGGTCACGCTGGCAAACGTCGACCTCATCCTGGGGACGAGTCTTTCGTCCCAGATTGATTTGGACGATTCCGCATCCCGAAAAGTTGTTTCCGGAAACCGAAAGCGGCTAAACACATCAGCCTTGTCTTTCTCAAGGCAGTGGAGGTCTGGGCCCTGCTGCCCCCGCACCTCAGCGGGACGCCGCAGAACGGCGCGACCACACCACCAGGAGGACCCTCTCTGACTCCTCGCGATGGTGGTGGTCGTGTCTACCGCTCGAAGGAAAGCGGTTCTAAGGAACCGGCTCCTGGACCCCAGGTCTGTCCTGGGCACCAGCTCTTCACGTTGTGTCACGTGTTGCGCTCCCGGGGCGCGTGGAGGGCCCAGGGGGCACGAAGGCACGGCGCAAAACCTCTAGGACCCGGTTCCCTCAGGACTTGCTTCTCTCATGTTCAGCGCCGCCTTTCCATCATTCCAGCCCTTTTCATCATTCCAGCCCCCCTGCGCCGCCAAGGGCGCGATTCGGCCACCACGGCCGCGACCCCTCGGGGGTCCGCCACAAGGAGGGCCGGCACCAGGCGAGAGAGGCCGGTGACCCTCCCACGTCCGGGTCGTCCGGCCGGGCAGTGACAAGGGGTCACCACCCGGGGGATCACCAGCTCCTCCTGGAAATCGAGCTTCCAGGCTCGAAGCTCGAGGAGGTGCTTGGGACGTTTGGGATCGCGTTGGAAGGCTCCGGGGTGTTTTGGGGGGCCCTCTTCCTGGAGGACATACCCGTTTCTTCAAGAAAGTGGCGATTCCCCTAGTCGTGACCCACTTTGGCAGTGCCCCAAGGTGCGGGGTGAGGATCTCTGTCGGCTGCACGCCAGGAGTTGGCCTTCGCCAGAGTGACCCTTCGCAGGCGATTCCTCGCCCTGGATCCCGGAGCTCCTTCCCCAGAAATTCGCAGTTCACAAAAGATAGGACAAATCCCCAGGTGGCTCTTCGGACGCACCCCCATTGAGGGTGGACCCCTCCCAAGCTATACCCCCGAGTTGGGCGCCGAACTATGTGGCCAGTCGAAAGGCCCGCGAGGTGCTAGATCGGGGATTGAGGTCGCCATGCCTCTTGATAACCTTTGGTCGGAAATTGGAACAAAGGCATTCCAGTGGCGGGCTGTTTTTCAATCTCAGGACTTTTTGAGGGTCGGGGACGATGTCATTGTGGTGTGATGCATACTTGGTTGAATGTGTTTCCTGGGGGAAAACGACACATATATACACCAGGGTCTCGTATATACCAGGATCAGCTTTCCTCTGCAAATTCCAGTGCAGGGACGGAAACAGCGTCGGTGTATGGAATTCGGTTCCCTACTTGGTGCGTACCGACGGGTTCCCCCGGTCACTGTATGCGATGCGCCAGCAGCGGCATGCGCGCTTGGGTTTATCCCGCCCGCGCTCGCCTCAATAAGTGCGCCACGTGCCTTTTCTGCCGAGGACCACCTCATGCGTGTAGCCGAGGCATGAAGACATTCGAGATTCGTAGATCGAGGTTCACAAACATTAGCTTCGGTTGCAAATCATGGGAGCCTGGTATATCCCCTTGATTCTGTCTTTTGCGTCGATTCGCATCGAGTAGCGCCTGGGCGTCGATTTAGCGCCGATGTAGCGTCGGTTAGTGTCGATTCGCGTCGATTTAGCGTCGATTAGCGTCGATGTAGCGTTGATAAGCGTCGATTTAGCGTCCAGTCGCGTCGATTCACAAGAGCCGACAGGATGGTATGGGAGGCTCCCATGAGTTGCCACCGAAGAGGGCATGAAGACATTCGAGGTTCGGGGATCGAGGTTTACAATCATTTGCACAGATTGTTCGACGACGTGGGACGCGTTGCAGCTCTCGGGGGCCTCCAGAGCGAAGGCCTCCTGGAGGTCAGCAGGGACTTTCGGAGGCCTCTGGGGACCGAGGTTCGAGGGTCGAGCTTCAAATATGGTTATTGTTTTTCTTACTTGTTCTCCTTGAGCTTGCACGGGGTTTTTCGTCGCCATAGCTGGACTCTCCGAATGGTCGCCGGAACGCACCCTGGCAGAGCTCTGGAAGCCGATCTGGAGCGGAGGATCAGGTCTCCGGTTTCTTCGAAGGTCTTCTGTGGAAGAAGGGAGCGAAAGAGGAATCTCAATGCGGTTCGAATGTTATGAATGTTTGTTGTTCGTATTTGTTGTTGTTGGTGGTGTTATTATTGTTGTTGTTGTCGTTGTTGTTGTTGTGGTAGCTGTTGTTGTTATTGTTGGTGTTGTTGGTGTTGTTGGTGTTGTTGTTGTTGGTGGTGTTGGTATTTTTCGTGTTGTTCGTTTTGTTGGTGTTGTTGTTGGTGTTGTTGATGGTGGTGGTATCGTCGTCGTCATCGTCGTCGTCGTCGTTGTTGTTGTTAGACTCTCATTTCTGAAAAATGATGATTGATGATCCCCCCGTCCGGTGCACATAGTTTTTTCCGATTGAAGTGCCCTTCCCCGGGCTCGTACCCTGTTTTTTTATCAGGGGAAAGTCTTGAGGGTCAAACTGTGTCGTTGGCTCCCGGTTTACAACAACAGCGGCTCCCGCCTGAGACAATCTCACAATTTAGCCAGGACCCCCGCTCCCGCCCGAGACTTCCTCGCGTGTTATTCAGGAATCGCACTCTCGCTTGGGACTTCCTTAGAATTTATTTTCCCGGCGCTCTGGAGTCGCGCTCTCGCTGGAGACTTGCTTGCTTTACTGAAGAATAGCGCCCTTGCGTTAGAATTTCTCACAATTTACTCAAGCGCCGTGCTCCCGACACCCAGGCACCCAGTAGTCGCGCTCACGCTTAGGACTCCCTCACAGATTACAACGGAATCGGGATCTCGCTGCCCTTCGTGGTCCCGTTGCAGCCCTTCGTGGCCCCCTCGCTTTGTTTCGTGGCCCCGTTGCGGCCCTTCGTGGCCCCCTCGCTGCCCTTCGTGGCCACGTTGCAGCACCTCGTGGCCTCCTCGCTGCCCTTCGTGGCCCCGTTGCAGTCATTCGTGGCCCCCTCGCTTTGTTTCGTGGCCCCATTGCAGCCCTTCGTGGCCCCCTCGCTGCCCTTCGTGGCCCCGTCGCAGCCCTTCGTGGCCCCGTTGCAGCCCTTCGTGGCCCCCTCGCTGCCTTCATGGCCCCGTTGCATCCCTTCGTGGCCCCCTTGCTGCCCTTCGTGGCCCCATATATGTATGCCCTTCGTGGCCCCCGCTCGTTCGCGCCTGTGGTGGCCCCACATGCATCTGTCCTACGTGGCCCAGTTGCCACCCTCAGTGGCCCCATCGTTGCCTTTTGTGGTCCTGCATTATCTGCCCTTCGTGCCCCCCCCCGCTCCTCTGCACTCTTCGTGGCCTCATACGCATTCCCTTCGTGTCCCCGGTGTTGTCCTTCGTGGCCTACTTCGTGTCCTTGTGGCCCTGCTGTCGTCCTCTTTCGCTCTCGCTTTCGCGCTCGTCGTCGTCGCCGTCGTCGTCGCCGTCGTCGTCGACGTCGTCGTCGTCGCCGTCGTCGTGGTCGGTCCCCTGTCCGTCCCTCTGGGGGTCGTGTCGACGGTCCGCGGCCGCCCCGCCGATCAGCGCTGCCGCTGGCCAGGCCGACGGTCCGCGGCCGCCCCGCCGCTTGCCGGGGCCCGGCCTGCAGGGAGGAAAGGTATACCCCCCAAAAGGGGTTCGATCGAAAACGAAGAGGGCGGGTATCGAGGGTTTGGGAAATAGGCGTTATTGGACATTCGAGCAAATAAGGGCGAACAGTCTTAAAATGATTGTTGTTGTTGTTGTTGTTGGATGACGCCTTGACAGGGGCCCCGTGCACGCCCCCCCGCGCAACGCATCGCATTGCAACAAAGGTTGACGGCGTCACATTCACTGGCCGAGGCTCCCCCTTCCGCGGCTTGACTCTCATCCACAATGTTGGTCGCAATTCGCAGTGACGGGGCCCGTCCGCCTGCTCTCGCGACAGAGGTGGCACAGCGTCGGCGAAGGGAAAAGTGTGTGTGTGTGCCTAGATGGTGTCGGAGTCGATGGGGTCGGATGATCGCGCCGCATCGCCGATGTATTGCCGATGCGGCTCACGTCGACGTCGCCGCTGCATCGCCCACGTCGTTGATGCATCGCCAGTGTATCGCTGATGCATCGCCGATGCATCGTCGATATATCGGCGATGCGGCGCGATCCTCCGACCCCATCTACTCCGACCCCACTGAGGAGGCGTCTATGGAGATGTTTTGACAGTTTGTTCTTGGCGGGTGAAAGATGTACGTAGGAGGTTCGAGATTCGCGGCTGAATGTGTTCTGCCTTCTCTTGGCTCCAGGCTTCCCGTCGCCATGGTTGGACATTTGTACGTCACAGCTGCTGCCAGACTCTCGGGCGATGTCGGACTTGGAGGAGGGGCCCGGAGGAGGAGCGCATGCTTTCCCACACACCCTTTGCGCTCTACGTCATCAGAGCTCATCTCCCCATCTCCCCCCCCCCCCCTCGCGGTCCCATCATCCCCCCCGTCGCCATCCCCTTCGCTCCACACTTCTTCTCTCCCACCCCACCCCCCCTCCTTGCGAGGGCAGGAGAGCGCGGGGAGAGAGCAGAAGGGGTGGAGAGGGGGGGGTCTGGAGGGAGGTGGAACACAGGGGGTGGAAGAGGATCTGCGCTCAGGGCCCCGCCCCGGAAGGCCTCGATGCTATGTACCGCACTCAACAAGATCTTCGAAAACACCGAGATGTACTGCACGCACAAGGGCGACGATGAGCTCCAGCGCCGTATCTATCCAAGGGCCGATGCCAGTCCTCGACCTGGAAGGGCTTATAACGCATGCTTTCGAAGCAATGCCTCTGTTTGGGGATTGGATCTCTTCATTGCTTTCACGAAGCTTCAGACGATGCCAGGTGGCTCTTGCGTGGGTGGGCCGCATATATAGGTACTTTGCCAGTCCCTTCCCGATTCCCCAGCCGGGAATTGCGCTCTCGCTGTAGTAGAATTGGCCACAACTCTTAGCTAGGAGAGGTGCTCCAGTCTGAAGGAAATGGAGCCTGAGGGAAAAATAACTGGATTTGTGTTGCCGTTTCCGAGCTCTTCTGGGTCTTTCTTCGGGCCTTAGGATCGGGAGAAGACGATTCGGGCTGCAAAACCCGTCAAGGTGAGGCCCTGGTGGTCAAAGACCAATCTTTCTGAGACCCTTCACCCAGCGATCGACTTTTTGTTCTTACCCCCGTTTCAACCCCCAACTCTCGGCGGCAGGTGGTTGGAGCAGAAGAAGGACTATAGCGACACGTCGATCGCCTGTGGTCTCTCATGTTGAAGAGTTGAGAGGGATGGGTCAATCTCGGGGCTCACAGCGGGCGCCTCGCTTTCAGCGCTGGCTACACTCCCAGCCTGGGATAGTGCTCTCGCCCGCATCGTTGTCGGCGTGCCGTACTCGGCTCGATTCTAGTTATGTTGCGTTCCACGACGAGTCCCAGTCGGACGATGAGGCAGTTGCGGTGTGTGAGCTTTCCTGTCCGATCTCAGCGATCCCCCTCTTCTGGCTCCTGGCCGCCCCCCTCGCACTCTCTCCGCAGAAATCACCTGCGCACCACTATGCCTGGCCTGGGCCATCGTGGGCTCTGAGGATGGCGTGCTGGGGGTGGGGGAGGAGGAGGAGGAGGAGGAGGAGGAGGAGGAGGAGGAGGAGGAGGAGGAGGAGGAGGAAGGTGGGCCCTGAGGATGGAGGGTCCTGGCCTCGGCTGGCCGAGCGCACGCACCATCGAGGTCGGGACCTTCTGCGTGCGCCCCCCCCCCTCCACGTATCCCATCTCCGTGTGCTCCTGGAGCCCTGGCCCACTCGCGCGGGCCCTTACCTTCGGCTGCTGCCCGCCGCTCGGAGGGAGGGGAAGCCGGCACCGCCAGCGGGCCGCCTCTCCATCGAGAAGATCCACAGGGCTTCCAGAGCAGCATCTAGTGGATATGTCTCGAGCTGGACGCCGCGAAACAGCCGGGGGGGGCGCTCCGTTGGGAGGAAACCCCGCGGCTCCTCGCGGTTGGCGGTGGTGTCGTCGTCGCGTAACGAGGGAGCGAAATATGGGGGATGATGTGTGTACCCTTCGCGCGCCGTAATTAGGGGTCTAAAAGGGGGCCCTCGCGGGCCCAGGAGGAACATGAAAGGTGTATGTTTCTTCACCCCCCCCCCCCCTAATTCATCGCCTTCCAATTAAGCAACGCCCAATGGTGGTGCTGCCCCTTCTGCGCCAGGGCCCCCGCGCCGCCGAGACGAGACGCGGCAGTGGCCATATCGCCCCCTCGCGAGGGGGTGGGGCCCGCGGGCGTCGACGACGTGATCATGAACGAGAACTGCAAGGCCGCGTACGTCCACGTGGGGGCCGCGGGGAGCAAACTCGAGGCCGGGTGCGAGGGGAATCGGGGCGGGGGGGGACAGGCCACGGGGGTTGGGGACTGGAGGACCGGGAGGGTCGGGATGGATATGTTTTTCTTCTTCGGTGAACCCGTGACGTCCGTTACGGGGGACCCCCCCTACGGTACCGAACGTACCTGGGGTGAATGCTGGGTCTCCCACAGGCACGGCGCGGTGCTCACAGGCATGTTGTGGTGCTGACAGGCATGCTTTGGTGCTCACAAGCATGCTATGGCGCTCGCTGGCCCGACCCTCACCCCCCGCAGGCGTACTTGGGGGAATCGCTACACAATCCCATGGAGAATGGAGAAGACAGGGACGACAATGAACATTGACGCAGGTCGGGGGGCTGAGGTGGCTGGCCCAGCACTGGTTCTGGCCAGCAGAAGAAAGGAGACTGGAGACCTCGCTGCCACGGTTGAAAGCGGTCCGAAATTTGGTCAGTTTCGACCTGGAGGGGTCCAGGGACAAATTTTGAGCGGATTTATCTCCGTCATTCCTTTTTGGAACATTTTCTCAGAGCCCATCCAAGGCAGACCCTCTGGCCGCTTTCAAGGCGAACCGCGGCCCCTGCGCCTTTGAACAGAGTACATGTTCTGTGTCGCGACGTTGTCCACTCGGGGCAAACGTCACTTTCCCAAGATTGGCAGCTGTCTGTTTTGGATTTCGTCCTGGCCCAGATTGCTCCTGTAGTTCTTCTCAGTTTTCTCGGTCCTGGGGCCAGTTCAAAACACAGTTCGGGGCGAACAGCCGGGGAGATCCCTGGGGGTCCGAAACCCATTCTTCATGACCTCTTTCCTTCATGGCAAGGTGGGGGCAGGATAGGACAGGTCGTCGTTGCCAGCCGTCGTTTTCGCCGCGGTCATCTTCGCTGCGGTCGTCCTCGCCTCGTCGTCTTCGCCTGGTCGTGTCCGCCCTGTCGCCTGCGCCAGATCATCTTCGCCGCAGTCGTCTGAGTCCACGTTCGTTTACGTCCCATCGTCTTCGCACGAGGGTTTGTCTGACCCGCCCCCCGCCCTTCAGGGTCCGCCCGCCAGACCCGCCCGTCAGGGTCCGCCCGCGCGACCCGCCTGTTAGGGCCCGCCCGCCTGTTGCGCTCGGTAGGGCCCGCCCGCCCTAGCCGCTGGCAGGGTCCGCCTGGTCGCTTGCTTGCAAGCCCGGCTGCCCGCCGGCGAAGCCCACCCCAGCGAAGACGACCGCCAGCGAAAGGCGAAAACTATCCCGGCGAAGGACCCAACCATATGAAGTTGTGGGTACCGCAATTGTGAATATCTTCTTCGGTGAAGCTCCCTATGGGGCTACGAAGCGATGCGCTGGGCGGGGGGTGAACGCATGCGGGTGGTAGCACTGGGGCCGTCGGTGAAGCTCCCTATGAGGCCACGAAACGCTGTACTGGGTGGGTGACAATGCCAAGTTGGGTGTGGGGGACGCATGCGGGCGGTCCCATTGAGGGCTTCGGTTGGGCTCCCTATGCGGGCCACGAAACGCTGTACTGGGTTGGTGACAATGCCAAATCGGGTGTGGGGGACGCATGCGGGCGGTCCCACTGGGGGCTTCGGTGGAGCTCCCTATGGGGCCACGAAGCGCTGTACTGGGTGGGTGACAATGCCAAATTGGGTGTGGGGGACGCATGCGGGCGGTCCCTCTGGAGGCTTCGGTGGAGCTCCCTGTGGGGGACGCATGCGGGTGGTCCCACAGGGGGCTTCGGTGGAGCTCCCTATGGGGCCACGAATTGCTATACTGGGCAGGTGGGAATGCCAAATTTGGCATGGTGGGCGCACGCGGGCGGTCCCATCAGGGGCTTCGGTGGAGCTCCCTATGGGACCACGGAGCGCTGTGCTGGGTGGGTGGCAATGCCAGATCGGGTGTGGGGGACGCATGCGGGCTGTTCCACGGGGGACTTTGGTGGGGCTCCCTATGCGGGCCACGAAACGCTGTACTGGGTTGGTGACAATGCCAAGCTGGGTGTGGGGGACGCATGCGGGCGATCCTACTGGGGACTTTGGTGGAGCTCCCTATGAGGTCACGAAGCGCTGTACTGGGTGGGTGACAATGCCAAATTGGGCGTGGGGGGCGCATGCGGGCGGTCCCACTGGAGGCTTCGGTGGAGCTCCCTGTGGGGGACGCATGCGGGCGGTCCCATTAGGGGCTTCGGTGGAGCTCGCTATGGGGCAACGAAACGCTGTGCTGGGTGGGTGCAGAAGCCAAGTTGGGGGTGGGGTCCGCATGCGGGCGGTCCCACTGGGGGCTTCGGTGGAGCTCGGGGCCACGAAACGCTGTACTGGGTGGGTGGAAATGCCAAATTGAGCTCATGCGTGCGGTCCCACAGGGGGCTTCGGTGGAGCTCCCTATGGGGCCACGAAACGCTGTAGTGGATGGGTGAACATGCCAAATTGAACGTGGGGGACGCATGCGGGCGGTCCCACTGGGGGCTTCGGTGGAGCTCCCTATGGGGCCACGAAACGTTGTACTGGGTGGGTGAAAATGTCAAATTGGGCGTGGGGGGCGCATGCGGGCCACGAAGCGCTGTGGTGGGTGGGTGAAAAACCAAATTGGGTGTGGGGGACGCATGCGGGCGGTCCCACTGGGAGCTTCGGTGGAGCTCCCTATGGGGCCACGAAGCGTTGTACTGGGTGGGTGACAATGCCAAGTTGGGGGTGGGGGACGCATGCGGGCGGTCCCACTGGGGGCTTCGGTGGATCTCCTTATGGGATCACGAAACGTGTGAGGGTTGTGCCACATTGGGGTGTGGGGGACGCATGCGGGCGGTGGCACTTGGGCGTTCGGTGGAGCTCTCTACGGGGCCACGAAACGTGTGAGGGGTGTGCTGAAATGGGGGTGGGGGGCGCATGCGGGCGGTGGCAGTGGGGCCTTCGGTGGAGCTCCCTATGGGGCCACGAAACGTGTGAGCGGTGTGCCAAATTGGGTGTGGGGGACGCATGCGGGCGATGGCACTGGGGCCTTCGGTGGAGCTCCCGATGGGGTCACGAAACGTGTGAGGGGTGTGCTGAAGTGGGTTTGGGGGACGGACGTATGCGGGCGGTGGCACTGGGGCCTTCGGTGGAGCTCCCTATGGGGCCACGAAACGTGTGAGTGGTGTGCCAAATTGGGCGTGGGGGACGCATGCGGGCGGTGGAGAGGAGGAGGGGGAAGAGGAGGAGAAGAGGACAGGAACGCGGGGACCGCCTCTTAAAAACGAGGACCCAACACCACAGGATGGTTGGGAACAGTTGGTCGAAGACGACTCGTACCGGCTGCGGCGGACGGCTGGAGGATTTCGGCAACCAGGACTGGGTTCTTTGGCATTGTGGCTATCAGAATCCGTTTTGGACCCCAGGGGCCTCCAGGGAACAGGAGGAGGAGGTGGAGGAGGAGGAGGAGGAGAAGGACGGATGATGGGTCACTGGGATGAGGATACGGCGGAGGAGGAGGCGTTGGAAGAGGAGGATCAGGAGCTCTGTGGAGGGAAAGAGGCGGATGGAGGTGACAGGTGGGGGGGGCGTATTCCCCCTCCGTTGCGTGTCCGCGACCTGAAGGCAAAGAGGAGGGAACGGGGGAGGCGGGCTCAGGAGGGGAACCATGGCTAATGCTAAGGTATTGGCGGTGCATCGCCGATTCCGTGGTCTGGGCACAGGAGGGTCCGCGCACTCTATTGTTTGGCTCGATTGTTGCATGTCTCAATAATGTTTTGGGGCCTGTTCGGCGACAGCCGTGAGCCAGGATAGCCGCGAGTGCTGCAGGCGTGCGAAGGCAAAGCTGATCTGCCCCAGGCCGACCGTGTCAACCAAATTTGTCCAGCAGGCAGACCTCACGCGCAGCTGCGGTAGCCAACCTTTGTCTACCCATCCTAGCTATCACTTCACCTCTGTGTTATGGGCACTCCTTAGCAGGCGTTTGAAAATTATCCTGGCGAAGGACCCAACAATATAAAGTTGTGGGTGCCGCAATTGTGAATATCTTCTTCGGTGAAGCTCCCTATGGGGCCACTTAGCGCTGCGCTGGGCGGGGGGGAACGCATGCGGGCGGTAGCACTGGGGCCGTCGGTGAAGCTCCCTATGAGGCCACGAAACGCTGCACTGGGTGGGTGAAAATGCCAAATTTCGCGTGTGGGACGCATGCGGGCGGTCCCATTGAGGGCTTCGGTGGAGCTCCCCATGGGGCCGCGACACTTTGTAAAGGGTGGGTGAAAATGCCAAATTGGGTGTGGGGGACGCATGCGAACGGCCCCACTGGGGGGTTCGGTGGGGCTCTCTATGGGGCCACGAAGCGCTGTACTGGGTCAATGAAAATGCCAACTTGGGTGTGGGAACGAATGCGGGCGTGCGAGCGGTCCCACTGGGGGCTTCGATGGAGCTCCTTATGAGGCCACGAAGCGCTGTACTGGGCGGGTGAACATGCCAAACTGGGCATGGTGGAGTTCCCTATGAGGCCAGGAGCGCGGCACTGGGCGGGTGACAGTGCCAAATCGGGTGTGGGGGACGCACGTGGAGGGTCCCACTGGAGGCTTCGGTGGGGCTCCCTATGGGGCCACGAAGCGCTGTACTGGGCGGGTGACAATGCCAAGCTGGGGGTGGGGGACGCATGCGGGCGGTACCACTGGGGGCTTCGGTTGGGTTCCCTATTGAGCCACGAAGCGCTGTACTGGGTGATTGAAAATGCCAAGTTGGGTGTGGGGGACGCATGCGGGCGGTACCACTGGGGGCTTCGGTGGAGCTCCCTGTGGGGTCACGAAGCGCTGTACTGGGTGGGTGACACTGTCAAATTGTGTGTGGGGGACGCATGCGGGCGGTCCCATTGAGGGCTTCGGTGGGGCTCCCTATTGAGCCACGAAGCGCTGTACTGGGTGGGTGAAGATGCCAAATTTGATGTGGGGGACGCATGTGGGCGGTCCCCCTGGGGGCTTCGGTGGAGCTCCCTATGGGGTCACGAAGCGCTGTACTGGGTGTGTGAAAATGCCAAATTGGGCGTCGGGGCGCATGCGGGCGGTCCCACTGGTGGCTTCGGTGGGGTTCCCTATGGGGCCACGAAGCGTTGTACTGGGTACGTAAACATTCCAAATTGGATGTGGGGGGCGCATGCGGGCGGTTCCGCTGGGGGCTTCGGTTGAGATCCCAATGTGGCCACGAAGCGCTGTGCTGGGCGGGTGACAGTGCCCAGTTTGGGGTGGGGTCCGCATGCGGGCGGTCCCACTGGGGGCTTCGGTGGGGCTCCCTATTGGGCCACGAAGCGCTGTGTTGGGCCTGTGAAAATGCCAAGTTGGGTGTGGAGGGCGCATGCGGGCGGTACCACTGGGGGTTTCGGTGGAGCTCCCTATGGGATCATGAAGCGCTGTGCTGGGTGACTGAAAATACCAAATTGGATGTGGGGGGCGCATGTGGGCGGTACCACTGGGGGCTTCGGTGGAGCTCCCTGTGGGGTCACGAAGCGCTGTACTGGGTGGGTGAAAATGCAAAATTTGGCGTCGGGTCCGCATGCGGGCGGTCCCACTGGGGGCTTCGGTGGAGCTCCTTGTGGGGCCAAGAAACGTTGTACTGGGTGAGTGAAAATGCCAAATTGGGTGTGGGGGACGCATGCGGGCGGTCCCATTGAGGGCTTCGGTGAAGACCCGCATGGGGCCACGAAGCGCTGTGCTGGGTGGGTGACAATGCCAAGTTGGGTGTGGGGGGCGCATGCGGGCGGTCCCACTGGGGGTTCCGGTGGGGCTCCCTATTGGGCCACGAAGCGCTGTACTGGGTGGGTGAAAATGCAAAATTGGGCGTCGGTGGCACATGCGGGCGTTCCCACAGGGGGCTTCGGTGGGGCTCCCTATTGAGCCACGAAGCGTTGTACTGGGTCGGTGAAAATGCCAAATCGGGTGTGGGGGACGCATGCGGGCGGTCCCACTGGGGGCTTCGGTGGAGCTCCCTATGGGGCCACGAAGCGCTGTACTGGGTGGGTGACAATGCCAAATTGGGTGTGGGGGACGCATGCGGGCGGTCCCACTGGGGGCTTCGGTGGAGCTCCCTATGGGGCCACGAAGCGCTGTGCTGGGTGGGTGAAACGCATGGAAGAAGGAGGGGGAGGGGAGGAGGAGAGGAGGAGGAGGAGGAGGAGGAGGAGGAGGAGGAGAGGAACGCGGGGCGACGTCTCCTCAAAACGAAGACCCAACACCACAGGATGGTTGGGAAAAAGGGTGTGACATGTCCGACCAACTCCTTCCACCTTGTCTTTGGCTACGAATTGAAGCAAACGTACACCGTGAAGCGAGAGAGAACGAGAGAGAGCGATGACATGAGAAAAATAATAAGGCAGCGACAACGCGGTGACGCATGGCGGCACTAGGAATGCCAGGCAGCCCGAAGGGCGAGACCAGGGACCTGGACCAGGCGGGGCAAATCCAGGAGCGTCGAGAGCGGCGAATTGCCGCATCTTCTTCCTTAGGCAAGATTTGCGGAGCTCGTAGCGTCGTCGCATTTTCTTCTTCCTCCTCCTGCTCGTGCTCCTGCTCGTCAGCCCTCCTCTTCCTCCTCCCCGCTGCCTCCCCCCCTCCGTCTCCCCCGGCTCCCCCGAAGAGGTGCGGCAGACGATCGTGTGGTTGGTGCGCAATGCGCCGCAGCTCAGGACGGCCCTGGCCAGGCGGTACAAGCACAGGCGCCCTCGGAGGGGGAGCTCCCACGCGGCCATTTCTTCGCGCCCCCTGCTCCCGCCCCGGTGGGGCCCCATCCCTCAGGATCTCATCTTTGAACCGCCGACAGCGGCGGCCTCAGCTTGGGACGGGGGGGTGGGGGCGGCGCGGTGCCGTGGTGTTCGCGGCTCGGTCGCGTTCGGCTGCCTCTCAAAGTCGTCGAGTTCGGTCGGTCCCGTTCGGCAGGCTTGCCTGAGATCCTGGCGTAGTTTTTTTGCAACCGGCGATGTTGCTTTGCTTGAGGCCGCGGGGCCATCACGGATCGATCTGGCTCGAACGATGCAGCAGAAAGGTGGGGTCCAGGGTTCGGGTCGAGTTTTTGTTTACGATGTTGCATTTTTTCGTCACCTCAGAGCGGCCTGTCGGCTCCTCTCGGTTTCGGCTTTGCTGGCGGTTCGGTCGGTTTTCGGCTGTGCTGTCGCCGTGGGCGGCCTTGGAGGGGGGTCCTGGAGCAGGAGGAGACGGACGTGGTCTCTTGCTGTCAGTCTGACAGTTTCTTTGGGCCTCGCACCCCCAAGACATGCGGCTTGCGGTCCTCTTCCACGGGCCCTGCTGCCACCAGGGTGTATGCCGGGCCCCCGACTACGATCCTCCAGTGCAACCATGGGGTCCTTTCCCCCCGTCCTTCGTCCTCCCTCCCCACCTCCCTCCCTCCCTTCCTCCTCTCTCTTTTCCTCCTCCTCCTCTTCCTCCTCCTCTTCCTCCTTCTCCCTTCTCCCCTGGGGAGGTAGGAGGCTGCCTGACTGCATTGGAGTGTCCTTCTGCGAGGTTTTTCCGTGATGGACTGGAACCCGTCGTACGGATGACCCCTCCCTGCACAGCATGGGGTGCCGAAAGAGGGCGCTGCTCGGGAGCGGAACAGTTGGCCTTCAGTGCTGAAGGCGCGCGGTTGTGAGGAGCCGAGATTGCCATTTACCCCGTCTGGCAGTGAGGGAGGACTGACCCGAGCGCGGGGCGTCGCAGGCGGGGGTCGGCGGCGGGCCCGCGGGCTCATGCCGCGGGGTTTCTCGTTCAACACTTGCGGGATGTGTAGCTGCAGGGGGGGTCGACGGCCCGACGGGGTGCACCTTCTCAGAGGAGCCTTGTGGCAGGGAAGCAAGAGAGGTGGGTGAAGGGGGGGGGAAGGGGAAAGAGCGGCAGAAGCTGGGCGGGGGCGCGCGGCTCGCAGCCGGGTTGCGTGCACAGAATTAGTCAAAGCGCCCCTGGGCGTGCCGCGAGGTGAGCCTGGAGAGCGGCCCGCCACGCCGCCTCTGCGTAGGGGTGGCCCGTATAGACGGGCCTGGACGCCGCGCGGAGGTCGCCTTCATGTTCCCCGCAGTGCGAAGAAGTCGGGCACCGAGAGCGCGCTGCGCATAGACACGGGCACACAGACACGCAAGCGTTTCTTCCTCGGCTGGTGCGGCTCTCTCGTTGTTCTTTTTGTTGTGTTTCTTTCTTTCTTTCTTTCTTTCTTTCTTTCTCTCTCTCTCTCTCTCTCTCTCTCTATATATATATATATCACCAGAGTTGCCAGCAACGCGTGCTTCCAATGCATCGACATGCCCTGTTGGGGAGCAGTTCGGCTATCCTTGGATGTGGAGCTCCTGCCCGGTCCGTCATGCGGTGGCGCGTCCAGTTTTCGGCCTCTGCTCATCAGGGCCCGCATTCCGAAGATGTACTTCGTGGAGTCCAAGTTCCGCGAGTGGGAGAGGCAGCTCGAGAAGGCTCGTCAGATCCCCGAGCTGAACCTGCCCGACCCTCTCGCAAGGATTCGGGAAAAGCTCAGCTTGGAGAACAGGCAGCGGGGCCAAACAATCAGAATCGATTAGGACGCATCCCGCTTCTCCTCGCCCTCCTCATCCCCCACCCTTCCTCACCCCCTTCCCCACCGCCTCCTTCCCTCTTCCATTCCACCCCCTCTCACCCCTCATTCTGGCTGCCCCTCCCGCTTCCAGGGCTGCCTTCTCACTATTCTTCCCTGCCTCCTCCCAGGCTGAAGAAAATGGGCATGGGTGACCCTGACAAGCCGATCAGGAAGTACGGCTACGGCAAAGCTTTCTGAGACTGATGTGGCACTCCCGCACCCCTGCCGTAAAAGCAAAAAGGTCGTCCCATTGCCTTACTCTTCCGCACCCCACCGCATCCCAGCGATCCCGCCACAACGTGCGTTCTGCATCTCTCTGAGACAGCGCTCTCATATTCTCGGCTGCCCGTTGTCGGCGTCTCGGCAGCCGTCTCGTCCTCGATTTTCTGCGCAACGTCTACTTGCGTCGCATCGCTTTTCGTGCACGCGCGCTGAACCTCCCGCATCCCTTGCCCTGCTCTGAGCATTCGCCCGTCACAGCGAAGTCTCGCCTCGATGACACAGCGGCGACCCCAGCGCTGGCGTTCAAGTTTGAACGCCACCAGCTCCCCGAAATCAGATGATCTCGAATGATCTGCAACATCAGAAAGCCGCGGTCGTTCAAGGTTGAACGATCCACCTAGCGTCGTAAGTCAACGCCCACGCCATCAAGAGGTGAACCTGCCATAGTTCGGTCCATCCTTCCCCACTTCCTAGAGTAGGTGGCCACGGCCTCCTGTGTTTCCTGCAAGACCTTCATGCTGTCTTTTTCTCCTGCGCACTGTAATATTGAGGTCACCCCGATGCGCTGCTCGGCCCCCGAGGAAGCATGTATCGGTCCCTAGCGGTCGGGAAACATTTTGCTCCATGTAAGACCGAGAAGGCGACAGTGTTTCAAATCATGCAGCGCACAATGTGTCAACGATTTCTCGAACGTCTTCGGGTCTCTTGGGGGGCCTTTGAGGGGCATTTGGGACTTTACCAGGTAGTTTCTGCGCCATCTTTAAGCCCTCGTGGGCTGTCCCAGACTCTTGCGAAGGCTGTCTTGAACCGTATTGAGGCCGCGTTGGGGCCATCTTGGTCATGTTGAGTGGTTCTCGGGGCCCTCTTGTGCAGTCTTGGAGCTCCGGGAAGCCATATGGACGCAACCTCGAGATGAGAAGCCGAGCATGCGATCAACATTGAACACTCAGAAGGCTTTGACTATTGTAGAGGCCTCCGGCTGGTGCCGCCGATCCGGGACGACCCGCTGTCAGAAGGACACTTTCGCCCCAGCGCGCTTGTTCAAACGTAAGTGGTTTGGAAACTGCTCGGAGGCATTGCGTGGGCTTCCTGATGGGCCTCTACGACGCATCTTCGAGGCCTCCTGGGGGGCGTCTTGGAGATGATTGTTGAGCCTCTTGGGGGCCTCTTGGGTTTCTTGGGGGGCATGCAGGAGGCATCCTGGAGGCCTCCTGGGGGTGTGCAGGAGGTAATTTTTAAGCCTCCGGGAGCGCTTTTGGGAGCCTTTGGGGGGCCTCTTGAGGACCATTTGGAGCCTCTCGGGGTTTCTTGGGGACTCCTAGGGCCATTTTGGTGCCTCCTGGGCGCCTCTTGGGCCGTCTTGGGCCCTTCTGGGGCCGTCATGGAGCCCTCTTGGGCGCTTCTTGGGCCCGTCCTTGGGTCCGCTTGGGCTGTCTTGGGGGCCTCCCGGGCCGTCTGGGGCCCTTCTTGGGCCGACTTCGGGCCCTCTTGAGAGCCTCTGGGCCTGTTTTGGGGGTCTCTTGAGCCGTGTTAGACACTGCGAAGGCCGAAGAAGCGAAAATGCAACAAAAAATGTTATCCTAAGGAAAATGGGACAGATTTTCTGTCTTTGGGCGCTCTACGGAGGTGTCGGGAGGGTACGTTGGAGACTTCTGGAGCCGTCGGAGGAACATATTGAATCTCTTGGAGCGATGTTTCGGCCACTCAGGGCCCTCTTGGGCCGTCTGGGCGGCCGCTGGGTTTTTTATGAGCCCGCGTTCGAGCTCTCGGGGGCGAGGGGCCGACCCAGAGTGAGCTGGAGCTCCGATTTTGCCATCAAAAATGGCTCGGAACCCCCAACCCCCTACCCCGGCAGAGCCACCCCGGCACCCACCCACCCAGCAGAGCTGAAGCTCAAGAACTGAGGCTCAGGCTAGAGATGAGAAGCCGAGCATGCGCTCAACATTGAACACCCAGAAGGCTTTGACTATTTCGGCTGCCAGGGCCTTTCTTGGATCGTCTTGAAATCTCGCTTGGAGACTTTTGCGGGCCTCCTGGTGGGGGCCTCCCGAGTTGCCCCGTGCCTCCTTTAGGGCGTTTCTTGGGAGACTTTGGGGGATCTTGGGGTTGCTTTGGGAAGGCTCAGCCTCTGGCCAGGCTCACTCGACCAGGGGTGCCCAGGAAATATTGGGAGTTCTGGGAAACAGGGAGTCGGGGCACTTACGTATCTTGTTTTTTGTTCAAATTGCACGCCGTAAGAATCTGATTATCTTGGAGCACTCATATTTGCATGAGCGTTTGGGCGTTGCTTTACGTGTCGAGAACACGATGGCGGATAGTGCCTAGTTAATGTATGTGTTGTGCGATATGCTAGGCGTCCGAGCTCGCCAGAGTTGTATGCACTTTCTTCTGGTCCTCGGGTGCTGATGGGATTCGACAACGTAGCATCTCTGTTGATTGGAAATGATTGAATTCAAGGGCGTCTGATTCATTTGCCGCGCGCCTTTCCTTGCCTCGCACTTCGGCATACTCTCACTGGCCCACTATCTCATTCCGCCTACCTTTTCTCATGCCGTGGTTCTTTTGAAAAGCGGGGGCTGGGAGTCTCCAGAGGTCCCAGGAGGCCTCTGGAGGTCCACGGAGGTTTCTGACCCCGCATAACCTCAGGAGGTCTTTTAGTTTTGGTCACCCCCCCGGCTTCTCTCAGCGGGGAACGAACTCGCCTTTCCCTTTTCCTCCTCGTCGTCTTCGTCGTCGCGGCGGAGATGGGTGATAATGAAGCCTCTGAGATTTTCGTGGGGATGTCGTGGGAGGGCTTTCGAGTGTTTTGTTGGGAGGAAGTTTTGAAGCCTATTGGGCGCCGTCTTGGGGGATCTTGGGGGCCTCATGGGGGTCTCTGGGAGCATATTGGGAGCTTTTTGGAGCGTCTTGGACGTCAAGGCCGAGAAGTCGGACATGCTAGAACTGAGATGTTCCTAGAGGAATGTGATGGTGTTTGCTTCTTGCCGCCCTCTTGGGGGTGCTCTTCTTGGGACGTCTTGGGCGCTTTTGTGGCCGAGTGGAGGCTATCTTGGGCGTCTGGGCTCGATCGTTCAGCGATTGTGTAGGGCCTACGTTCTGAGGCCCCCCAAGAAAGCGGAGCAAAGTGGAGCAAACTAAATGCCCAAAGCATACAAACCTCTTGATTGTCGATCTTGGTCGTCGTCCGACCGACGCCCGCCCCAAACAGGCCCCCATGACCCCTCCCAGAGTCTATCCTTGCTAGTATTTCGAGCTGCGTCCTGCCGTGGTGACGATGTCTTCCTGATCGCCCCACAAGCTTGGAAACGACGACAGCGACGACGGCATCGTCTTCGTCGTCATTGTCGTCGCCGACGCCTCGATCCTGCCCTCGGCGTTGGTGTCCTGGAAAGGCGTACCCGCTCCTCATCGTCCGCATGTTCCCAGACGGGCTGCGCGGGCTCATGATCGTCAGCATGGTCTTGGCCATGATATCGAGCCTGGACCGCAGCCCTGGTGCTGGCTGCGGTGGCGATTCAGAACAGGCCCTCAACGTCGAACCACTCGCAGATGTTCCTACTTTTGAGCGCTGTTGAGTTCTCTGGGGGCTGATGCAGCCCTCCGCGTGTGGGGGTGCGCTCTGGGCCTGGACTGCTGCTCAGTGTGGCCTTCAGAGCGCCTTCAGAGCGCCCCTCGCGAAGCCCACGGGCTGTAAGTCGGTTTGGGAACCGTGGGTACCCTGGGCCTGGACCACTTTCGGAAACCTCCTATTGTATTTGCGGAACAGGTCGAAGGACAGTCGACACACGAACATGCAGAGGAGTAAACACGGCGCTGAGTTCAACGCTGAACGCAAGCCCAGTGTTCGCCGGGGAGATTGGCATTTGGGGTCATTGCAGAATAGAAGTATCGCAGGATGTACTTGCCGATCCCATCATGTAGCAATGGAACAGACGAGTCAGTTGAGATGATGGTGGCATTGATACGTGGAGGTGGGTGACGGGAGGGGGAAGACAGGCAGGGAGAGAAAACGGAAGGAGGATGAGCAGGATGAAGTGAAGGAGGAGGAGAAGGAAAAGGGAAAGAAGGAGCAGGATGGGGGCTTGCCGGAGAGGATCGTATGCAAAGCGGATGGCAGCAGCGAGCGTGTTTTTTTCTCGTCCCTCCTCACGCCAATGCACGTTCAGGACTCCGTCTTCAATTGCGTGTCCACGATCTTCACGTTGGACGTGTACAAGAGGCTCCCCTTCCCGAGGAGGGGGATTACGACGAAGAGGAGAAGGAGGAAGACGAAGGATGAGTGGAGGAGGACAAGGAGAGCACGAGGAGGAGGAGAAGGAGGAGGAGGAGGGGAAGAACGCAACGAGGAAAAGGAGGAAGAGAGGCACGAAGACTTGGGGAACGACGATGGAGGCATAATTAAGGAGAATCAGGCGAATGGGGAGGAACGAGAGGAGTCGAAGGGAGAGGAGTGGGAGGAGGTGGAGGAGGACTCGTCCGCGCAGATTTCGCTTGCAAGTTGCGTTCACGCCGGGGCCCTGCACAGATTTTCTCTGCTCGTTAACGCGCTGGCAGTGGGCTCGTGTGAGAGCGGGCGAAATGTCGCTCCTTCCGCCCAAACGCCACGCAGATTTCGCTTGCAAGTGGCGTTCACGCGCGGGCGTGCCACACATTTCTTCTGCTCCCCAATTCTTCGTCAGCGGCGTCGCGCGCGAGCGGGCGAAATTTCGTTCCTTCCGCCCAAACGCCACGCAGATTTCGCTTGCAAGTGGCGTTCACGCGCGGGCGTGCCACACATTTCTTCTGCTCCCCAATTCTTCGTCAGCGGCGTCGCGCGCGAGCGGGCGAAATTTCGTTCCTTCCGCCCAAACGCCACGCAGATTTCGCTTGCAAGTGGCGTTCACGCGCGGGCGTGCCACACATTTCTTCTGCTCCCCAATTCTTCGTCAGCGGCGTCGCGCGCGAGCGGGCGAAATTTCGTTCCTTCTGCCCAAGCGCCACGCAGATTTCGCTTGCAAGTGGCGTTCACGCGCGGGCGTGCCACACATTTCTTCTGCTCCCCAATTCTTCGTCAGCGGCGTCGCGCGCGAGCGGGC